TGTGTGTGTGTGTGTGTGTGTGTGTGTGTGTGTGTGTGTGTGTGTGTGTGTTTGTGTGCATGTGTGTTGTCTGTATGCAAATGCCTATGTACGTTTGTACGAGTGTTTATGTGTTGTGTGTGTGCATGTGTATAATGTGTATGGGAGCACGCACATTTGTGTGTTGGTGTGTGTGTACGTGTGTGTGTGTGTGCATGTTTGCAAGTGTGTGTATTTGCATGTGTATATGACTGTGTGTACATGTGTGTGTGCATGTGTGTGTGTGTGTGTGTGTGTTTGTGTGTGTGTGCATGTGTGCATAAAGATGATATCCCCTGCTCTTGTTTTTACGGTCCATATAAAACCACCTCCAGTGTGCTGAAGAGACACCCTCCTGCCTCTACTCCCTCCCCCCCTCGTCCCATTCCATTTTCGTTCTAGAATCAATTCTTTTAATTTCGATACCTTCCCTCATCTTTTTAGCTTAACCAAACAAATATACCCCATGGAAAACTACATAATATGTTGTTTTTTTTTCAAACCCACTCCATCCCTCACCATTCAAAGCATCTAACCTGAAACCGCTCACAGTTCTGATAGAAACAACTATACCACGAAGCCGAACCTGGCAGTTACGGGACCAACAAGTGTCGCATGTCGTTACGAACTTGCGTCGCTACGTGTTAATCGAAGGTTCGAATCTAAGTCGAGGAAAATTAACTGAGGGAAAGTAAATTTTGACCTCCGTCCCCAAAATACTTAGTTAAACGCGTCTTTCGCGAATGAAGTCTAGATGACCCACACTTGGCTCCAAGCAGGGTGGAGACCCTAGATGTGCGCACCAGATTTAATACGCTACCGGACTCGTGATCGTGAGGTTGCGATTTCGGGGGTTCGAGCCGCGGGCCCGACGTTGTGTCCTTGGTAAAGACACTTTACACGAATGTTCCCCACTTCACCCAGGTGGGGTCCAATGCGATGCTTGTAAAAAAAACAAACAGAAAAGAACAGTGGATAAAGGAGTGACTAAGCTAAAAAGATGAATTTTTGGTTGTTATACCTTAGATACCCAGTTGGTTTTTGTCCTGCGAAAAGCAACGTACTCAGTACCGTACTGACTTAAGTCGTTAGCACTTTGAATACAAATAATGATTTACTAAATGCTATATTCAAAAAGGAAAAATTACATCATTTCTTATATGAAATTAATTCCTTATTAAACTTTTGTAAGCCCTGCGGTACAGGAATGTACGAGAACAGTTGAAATTGTCCGAGACTACCCCCATTGTCTTATTTTAGACTGGTAGGTGTCTTGGACATAATCAATATAATATTTTTAAAAGGCTGGGTAAAGGTGAGAAATTACCATTTATACATGTGATTGTCTTGGATAGGTGGCAGTTAAATCTGGTTCGACTATATTTGACAACTCTGTACTCGAAAATAGTGTATCTTGATTCTGTTCATTACATTACGATGTACTGCCTTACCGCGACATTTACTTAAAGAACAACTTAACTGAAGAAGCAATCAAAATCTATTATCTAAAAATGATACCCACCTGTCATTAGATATATAATAATGTTATCATGCTTTTTAAAGTATCGACCTACATTCATTACTCTTATTTGTCTTGTTACTGTGGATATTTCATTTTCATTTTCTTTTGTTGTTGTTGTTGTTAATACGGTTGCTGTTGTTGTTGCTGCTGTTGTTGTTGATCTTGTTTTTCTTTTTGTTATTATTATACTTTTGGTTGTTGTTTTTGTTGTTCTTGTGATTGTTGTTGTTTTTTGTTGTTTTTAATACCAATCGGAACAGACAGTATACATGATTGCTGTATTTATTGTATTTATCTGTGTTTCCCATTACCTGGCAGCAAGAAATGTGTTTCAGGCACATTGAAATATTCAGTTGTTATTTATTGCAAAAAATAAAGGAGGCTGACGCCTGCACCATGCAAAAAAGTGTAGATTTGGCTTCGTATTGTGTTGTAGCTCGTAGTCCCCAATCCTGTGTGATGAATGCTTAAACACCATTTACAGATACTTATGTGTGTCTTTTCAGGTGTCGCGCTTATGTGTGTGTGTGTGTGTGTGTGTGTGTGTGTGTGCGTGTGTGTGTGTGTGTGTTGTCTTTTTGTGTCTGTCGATACATATGTGTTTTTATGTGTGTATTATGTACGTGCGTGTGTGTGTGTGTGTGTGTGTGTGTGTGTG